TATCCACATGGAGAAAGATTTCAGTCTCTTGGCTCAACCTAATGTTGGCTACATATAAGATTTTTGGCCAGCGCATGAATCAAAAAAGTTATTATATTTTATCAGGTACACAAGCTCTTCACTAAAAATAAGAAACTCTGACCCACAGAGAATAAAATGATAATATGCACAATTATGCAGAGCCAAAGCCTGCAGTGACTCCAACATTTGGACTATATAGTGATGTTAAGATATAGTAAAATTAAGGGAAGATAAGATTTTTATCATTGGTAGCTTATAAATTTAGGTTTTATAAATAATAAAATGAAGGTGACATATAATTGGAAAATGAGAGATTAATTTTCTTATTTTGGTATACAATGATACATTTTTTCCTCAAAATTAGAGGTGAAATGTAATATTACCCATACAATATACCACAGAAAACAGTAATGGCTTAGCAAATTAATAAACACCTTTATATAGTTTCTGTTTTCATATGAACTTAAAGGATGGGAAAATATTACATGTGATACTCTTGATGCTTTCTCTCCAGGTATCTCTCATACAGCTGAAGAGTAGGCCATGATTTTTTCTTGGTCAGAAAACATGGAATAATATTAAGAACATGTCAGGCCATAAGCAATGACTCCTCTGATTAGTGAGGTGTCTTTGCTAGTCCAGCACCAATATGTGAATAATAAGTCCTAAGCAAAGTAATACTTCATCGCCTTTATCCCATGACAGTAAAAACATGCCATTGCAACTAGAAAGATGATGTGTAAGAGTCTGCCTGTTATCATATTTAATATTTTATCACCAACTTCTAAATCTCCATTAAAAATGATGACATAGAAAACATAGTTACCTGAACTGGGAGGATTATCTGTCTTCTCATTGAAGTTAATGGCTTTAATTTGCTTTTTGTCAAGTTTGAAATCTAGTTATTAAGTTCCAAATTTGAGTGATTAAAATTTCTTACTCATCCCTCTACTCACAAGAAAAATACCATAGATTAGGCAAAAAGGCAAATACAAGGAAATAGTCTGAACTATCAGAGACAATACTTCAACATCTCCAAGTAGTTAAAAATGAACTGTCTTTCCAGTTTTCCAATGAGCAATAAGGTTCTCATAAACACAAGATATTTTAAAATATGAACTGTAAAATCAAAGATAAAAATCAACAGACTTGGGGTAGTGAGTTGACTCAGCAGGGGAAAGCATTTGCTGCCAAGTCTGCTGACCTGAGTTTGATTCCCAAGACCCACAAGGTTGAAGAAGAGAATTCCTTTCTGCAAGCGGTCTTCTGACCTCCGCATGCCCATATGTAACACCTTCACTACAGTCTCTTAATTGTACTGCTACATAACCTAACTGTAATGTTACACAAATTTATTTTCATTGTTCCTCATCTTTAAAGCATGTACTGTATCAAATACTTTAAACCCAGATTAAATATATTTTTAAATTTCATACCCAATATGTTTCAAGTAGTTCCAATGTATGGATCTAGATAGCTTAATTGCCTTTTTTCTTTTTAGTTTTTTCAAACAGTATTTATAATTAATCACATTTCGTGTTGTTACTTGCCTCTTCTACGTCAGTGCTTTTATGTCCCTGCCTTAGATGTCTTAGCCAAGACTTGTCTCATACGGCCACCATATTAGCTGTTCTGAGTGCAAGCTGGTGCTCCAAGCCATTAGTGCCCACCACAAGCCAAGTGTCAGATGGTTGGAAATGAAGAACTAGAGCTTTGGTTTACACATGTTGACATGAACAACTCAGTTCCACCCCTGTGAGGGTAACAGCTCAGCTCATGACAAGTGAACAAGCCATCCAAGAAGGAGCAGAAAACACAGAAATGAACCATCTTAAGGAGCAGTACAGTAAGGTGCTGACAACTTAATGAATGACTTGTCCGTTATGACAGTCGGATACCTTGCATTGCCAAGAGCAAATAAATGCAAGGCAGGAAATGTATGTCCTATATATAGGACACGTAGACGGCCTGTATCACTAACAGATGGGCAGAGCTTGAGAAATCTTATTTTATGATGTATAACATCACTCCTGTCAAATGTACTTTAAGATCTGGCGATTAATGAAGCGTGCCACTTAGCGCTAGAAGGGAATTTCATTGTGTGTTCTGAGAGGTTGTGACCTTTGGAGACAGATAAACTCCTAGAGAATGTAGCTCGTATTTTCTTTAAGTATAACTCTGATCTCATTTGAAATATAATAATAGAATTTCAAGGCATTTGAACTAGGTAAGCAGGTGATATGTTGAGATGCTTAAGTATAAAATTAAACAGTGATAGTGTGGCTAAGAAGCCTAGCAATCAAAATGAGAGGCTCACTGATTGCAGAAGTGGATAGTCCACCTGTACAATGTTGAATGTCATAGGATGACTTTCTATACACAGAATAGTTTTATTTATGAATGAACTCAATTTGGAGTTATGGCTTAGACAGTCTTAAATTACAACACTAGAGGTGGCAGACAGATCGTTTAGGTTTCAAGTAGCTCCGGATAGTTTAACACAAGTTAGCATGGATTTAAGTCCATTTGTCAACCATTATGAGTGAAAACCGAGACAGTGAGTTAGACCAACTACTTATCATCACGTAGTGTCCATTTTAGAGTCTCAAGTGTCACAGAATATTCATAATTGCCTAGATCCTGGGCTAGTTCCGTTTAAAGAGGCAAACGGGATACAAAGTTCAAAGTAAGCCAAAACTGCAACAGTGCCATACAACTAAAATATTAAACATGAACTCATTAGCCAGTTTGTATCACTGAGGTCTTCCATTCCTCACATCCTAATGTGCATCTCCATCCGTCAACTCAATTGATGAGTGACTCAGTAGCAACATTTTGCCATGTGTCTGTGTCTCAGTGAGCTGCTGTCAGGAAGGATTGCTGCCAAAATCCTCAAGGTAAAAATGTTCAGAAGGCTTTGCATTCATCCTCTGAATTCTTATAGGCTGCTTGCCCCCAAGTCATGGAGCAATTCCAGAAAATAAAGGAAGGCTGAGGTATATTGAAATATGATGAAAACAGTCAACTTTTAGTGAATGTACTTTAAAACACTTAATAGCAAAAAAAATTCCTTTTCTTACCATTGAAAATATAAAAACTAACGCTAGGGGGAGGGCTTATTACAAATTGAATGCTTCCCATGAAAGTATATAGGGCCTGAGTTTGAATCCAAACAAGCTATATGATTCTCAGCCCAGAGACACACGTCTGGAATCCTAATGGTACTGGGGTATGATAAGGTAAGGCATTGACAAGAGAACCCCTGGAAACTCTGTGTCAGTTAGGCTGGCATACACCGTGCTGATCAAATAGGAAACCGTGCCTCAAATATGGTAGAAAGTGACAACTGAGGTTGCCCTTTGACCCCATATGCATACTGTGGCTTCTGAATGCCTACACTGACAGACGAAAACATACACATGCACATACATGCACACACACACACACACACACACGCACACACCTCTCATACCAGTCAATAAGCAATGCCAAACTATGCAGTTGAAACATGTTCAAAAGATATTGAAAGATACATTGAATGTTAGCATGAAATTATCAAGACTCATATTACAATTTGCTTGTAATATAAACTAGTAACAGAAGGTTCAGTACAGGAATTACCATTATATGCGTATGAGAAGGGCTAAACTGTCGTGAAATAAATATGTCAAAAGTTGCCAAGTCTTAGGCAGATATACTTTGGTAAAGAACTCCCCCTGCTTATAGACAAGATGGACAAAAGGCTTCTGTGTGAATGCACTCCTATTATTGCTCAAGAGAGCCAAAGAATTAAGAAATAATTTGAGTGCTGAACAACGAAGTCACACATAAATGACGGTGAGTCCATAAACAGGAAACCAACTATCAAGATGAATCAAGTTCTCCAAATTCCAATAGGAACTGACTTCAGAGACAAAATGACAAATCCAGGTCACTGGAAAATTTAAATTGTGTTAAAGGAAGGCGTAACATCAATCTTCTAACACATTTATATAATTCATATAATCCATAGGTACTTACCTGCGAACTCTGTGATGGTGTCGAGAGTGTGGTAGTGTTGTAAGGAGAAGATTTCATCTTTTCCCAATGGCTATGGAGTTGTTATTTTTAATCTTCACATACATTGCTCTTTCAGAAACTACAATATGCCTGCGTAACATGCATGCATTATACATGCATAAGATGTCTAAAATATGGAAAATATGAAGCCTCTCAGCCTTTCTCATGGTTTAATTTGGTGATCCAACAAAGTGATTGCACCATGAATAACAAGACAAGGAAAGAGATTCAAAGGCTGCAAGGACATTCCTGTAAAAACATCCATCTAGCAGAAAAGAGAAATGAAGTCCACCGCACATGGCAGTTGAGATGAGAAGCGATCACAGGAGGACTTTAAGCTTCATGCAAGCATTTGTTGAAATATTAGAGAAAATTTTCATTACAAAAATATTTTCCTAAAGGGTGGGGGAGATGGATTAGCAGTTAAGAGCACCTGCTGCTCTTCTGGAGCCCCTGAGTTCAGTTATTAGCACCCATACCAGAAAGTTCATAGCATCCTGTAACTCCAGTTCCAGGGATCTGATGTCTTTTTCTGGCCTCTATAAGCACCCAAACTCACATGGACATATACTATACCCCCACCATACAAATAAAAATACATATCCTTTAGAACTATTTTAAAAGTTTGTGTATCTTTTATAATGAAACTAAGTGAAGACACATTGTTGATGACACTTAGTGTGTTTATATAGCTTGCCCCATTTTATAGACATTACTGGAAACAGGTAAAGTTCTAACAACAAGAGAAGAGGACGGGAATGCAAAAATACAAGAGATTTGGAAGGAGTGGGGTTGGTGTGTTAAAGGCTCTAAGTCATACATTCTAACTCAGCTTACTTACTCTGTTCATATCTCATTTTATTTTTAACCCCAGTTGGGTTCTGTTTCATGATGTGACACTCTCATTTGTCAGTGTTTTGATTATCTTTATTTTTCCTTGGGTCTGCGAGGAACAAATGCCAGTGTCCATGAAGATGCCCATCTTAAACTTCCCACTTCTACAACAGGAAGCCCTAAGGAGAAAGTAGCAAAATGTGTCAGATGCACAATTCATTCAAGAATTAAGAAAAAATGAATTAGAGTAAATCCTAACAACCCACACTGGGCAAATGCCTCTGCTCCCTGATCTCTGTGAGTAGAAATTTACATGAATTCAGAAAGTTAAGGGGTAATTGACAGGAATATATTGCTGACTGAAGGATTTGTTCTTCAATGGGAGAGAAATTTATGTATATATTTTATGTTCTGCCTCATGACCGTAAAATTCCTAATGGTAATGACAGGTTTCGATCCGTATTTATTTAGTGTAATGGTGTTGCTAGTATTTGTTTGTACAAATTCTTATTTTTTTCTTTTTTTTATTCCTACCTAGTTTATTTCCTATTCAACAGCTTTCGACTCCTGATCTAGTCCACCAATCCTAGTACTTTCCTATTTTGCACACATAAGCATCATTGTTTCATTTTATTTTATATTTTTCTCTTTTTTATTTTTTGAGACAGAGTCTCACTTTCTAGGCCAATTTCTAACCTAAGCTGGTGTTAAGCCTAAGGTAAGCTTGATGCCTACTCCTCTCAAGTGTGGTGATTATAATCACGAGTTACCCTGCCTTATTTGCTTCAAACAAAAGTGAGAATGGGGGAGCTTAATTCATTCTGGGGGACTCCTCATGGTGTCAGTGGCTGCAGGATGGTCTGCACAAGCCACCTGAGCAAGAACCTCTGTGAGTGAGCTATGGGTTCTTTACTAGCAGAAAAGCAGATGTTACCTCTCAGATATTGACATGGTACTTAGAAATAAGATCACCCCACCACTGTGTTTACAATACGACAGTGGAGCCAAGAGGTCAGTGTTAGGTGTCTCCCACATGTCTTTTCTCCTGGAACCTGAGGTGATTCAGATGACTGATTCAGATAGACTTGCTGGTCAATAAGCCCACGGACTCTCCACCTTCATAGCCCTTGGTTAGCAGCACACAACTGGGTACTGGGAGCACACTCAGGTCTTCTAATTTCTGAATGTACCATTTTCCCAACTCCTTGCTCCTTTTTCAGAAGTCTCCTTCTCTTTCCTCAGCTTCACATTTATTTTGTATCCGATGAAGATAAAAATCATAATTATGACCTAGGCAGGTGACCTAGCTGTCATAGTTATCCTTCCAAATCATGAGGTCAAATACGATGTTGTTGGCTATTTCTTCCCTCTCAGGTCTCTGCATTCTGATCTGTGTAATTACCTCCAACAGTCTCGTCCTCTGTACTTATGATCCAGCTAGATATTGTTTTTCAAAGGGAGGTTCTGTTCCTGTGGATATGAAACATGTCCAAAATTTCTGCATTTTGTATGATGTTCCTAAAAACTGCTGTGTTATACTATAGACCGCCCTTGGAGAAATGAAGTCAAGCATACTTCTAGAACATTTTGCAATTAAGAATGATCTTCAGAATGCTCGATTGTTTGCTGTAAGTGGGATTTGATATTGTGGGAGACGAGGCTAATCCCAGCAGCAATCATGAAACCATGATAATCCCACTGATCAGTTTTGAGTCCTCCATTATTTCATTGACTTCTCGACACTCATAAAGAAGGGCATATCCCCTCCTCTACATCCTTATGGTGTTGAAAGAACTCAATAACTTACTCAAAAGCCACATTGATAATAATGCAAAGCAATTGTACAATGACTGTAACAGTAATCATGATCCACGCTCCCTAAAACATTTGTATTCACACCTAAGATCACTTTAATCTTCACCTTGCTTTCTCCCATTCTGTGTAATTTCTCTTCCATGACATGACTTAGGGGTGCAGGGCATGGCTCAGTGGGTACAGTGCTTGCAGTACAAGCTTGAGGGCCCAAGTTTGAATCTCTAGCACCTACATAATAAAACCATCCCTGACAGCAGTCCTCTAAGACCTCTGTGTTGGGAGGAGGCAGGAGGACCCTTGCAGCTTGCTCGACAGCCAGTGTAGCCTAGTGAGGAGATACAGGGCCAGTGAGAGAACCTGTCTCAAAGAGTAAGATGAGGAGCATCGGGAAAGATGTCTATGATTCTGTCTTCTTCATGAGCACACATGAGTGCACACATCAGCATATTCATGTGAACACAGGCACACACAGCAATCATGTAACTTAGCATGGGAAATAGCTTAATGGTTTTGTTTAGGGAGAGAAGAAACATTTTATACTCCTCTAAAGAAAGAAAAAAAACTGAGAACAAACCACAGAATAAGGCCTCAGGCTTATAAATTAAACTATCATTGACTTCTGGGACCTTATCGGGCTTAACTCCCATATGTGAACAGGTTCCTTACTCTGTTTCTTAATGTTCTCATGTAAAGAAGGGAAATAAAACTTTCTCAGAGGTCAAGACTGAATAAAGTAAAAGGCTCTAAACACATTAATAAAATTATCATGCAGGGAGTGATTAATATATGCATATAGCTGCTGTCACTATTATTATTATGTCTTAAAAAATTCTCACTAGGGTTAGTGACTGAAGCAGGACTCAGTTCAGCAATCCATCATGTGGTTTGACTAATTTTGTTCGCTGGCTGACTGCAGAAATCCCTCAGTACTTGAAATTCCGCAGATGGGCTTTTCCTCCATCGCTAATCCTCTCCAAGAAGATAGAACAGTTAATGAATTAGCTTGAACCATCTCCTTAAGCTTGACTGTCATCAACAAATTGGCCCCGAAGAACGTTATAAATGGGCACTACGAATTAGAAATTGTGTCCCTAAATCACTTCCTTCCTCTCTCTCTTCTCTTATTTCAAAAACTTGCAGATCCACAGCTTATCTGTTGAGCTCTGTCAGACAAAACTATCGGCATGTACTTCTTATTCAGAGCTGTGTAGAAAAACGCTTGTTAAGGCTGGTAATTGTTTGCTAGGATTATCTGACAACTTCAACACAGACATACAAGTGACACTAGACTGACTCAGCAAGTTGAATTTATATATTTGTGACATTGCATATATATATGCAAATACACACACATACTCATTTATATATATATATATAAACAAAAAATTTTCAATATAACTTTCTAGTGATTCTTACGAATTTCACATTTTACACCCCAATCCCACTCGTTTCCCAGTTCCTCTGTATCTGACTTTGATTCTTGTAGTATCCCCCCAAAAAGGAAAACTTAAAAAGAAATAATGAACACTAAATAAAATGAACAAATACAAATAAGAATATTAAACAAGCAAACAAAAACAAGCAAGCAAACAAACAAACAAAAAGTCCCCCTCGCTCCTCCATCTTCCCCCCCCCCTCCATTGCCTCTTCATGCTGGGAACTGTGTGTCATGAAGTAGACCCTTTAGCCCAAACAGCTTTACATGCAAATGTTCATTGTGTAATGTGTTGCTGGTCAAGTTCAAGGCCTCTGGCTCCAGGTACACCATCATTACTGGACCCTCACTGAAACTCTTCTCGGACATCCTGCTGAGTCATGGAGATCCCATGACTATGGTTCTGCAGAATAAGCCTCTCATGCACTTCAGCAGGCCATGGATGGAGGAGATGTTGGGCAGAGCCAACTCGGAGCCCTGGAAACATGCCTGGATGGTAGCTGAATTGGTCAGTCTAGGCTGCTGGAACCATGACTTTTAAGGGAGCAGTAGAGCCAGCTCTCTCATGCCCACAGTGAGATCTACTTCTGATATCTTTCTCAGTCACTTTTCATTGGTTTTTAAAACAAGGCCTGTCATTAGACCTGGAGTGAAGTGGGATTTCCCTCTGTATGCTGTGATTACCATTGATTAATAATGATACTGCTTTGGGCCTAAAGCAAGGCACATCTTAGCTAAGCTGGGGAGGGGAACACGATACTAAACTGAATTTTGGGAGGAAGAAGGCAGAGTCAGGAGAAGCCGTGGAGCTGCCACTGGAGACAAGCCAAAACCTTGCTGGTAGGCCACGAGTCTCATGGTAAAATATAGAATAATGGAAATGGGTTAAATTAAGATATAAAAGCTAGCCAATGAGAAGTTAGAGCTAATAGGCCAAGCAGTGATTTAATTAATACAGTTTCTGTGTGGTTATTTCGGGAGTCTAGGCAGCCAGGAAACGAACACGTGGCCTCCTACTACACTGGAGTGCATCAATCTGCTAGACTGGCTAGCTAGGAAGCCCCGGCTCCTGCCTCCTTAGCCCAGCACTGGGTTACAGACACACATTGTTGGACCCAGCTTTTTACTTAGGTGCTAGGGCCTCGAACTCAGTCCTTTATGATTGAAGCACTTTATTCACTGAGCTATCTCCCAGCCATTTAAAAGAAACTGCCTTTTCTTGCTCTCATTCTTATTTTTTTTTCCTTTGAAGCAAGATGTCACTATTGTAGCTCCGGCAAGCCTACATCTGTCTTTGTATCCCAGAATGACCTCAAACTCATGATCCTCCTGCCTCAGCCACCTCGGTGCTTAGATTATTGGCATGTACCATTTTGCCCAACGAAATAAATTCTTACAAGAAGCCTAGGGCCAGAGGTCTTTCTCTGTTTGCTGATTTGAAAGAGCAGCTGCTTTGGCGGGAGATAAACCGGTGCCCGTATACTTCCACTCTCTCCGTTTCATGTTCTTGTCAGACCCCAGCCTTGATGTGATGACACAGATATCACATACGAAAGATGCCCACACCTGCTCTCCAGTGGAGAAAAACGGCTTTCTATCTTGGCAGTGCTTGGCTACCGACTTGTCTTATCTTCACACACCAGCGTCACGACCCCGTGGGACAGGGACTATCAGCCGTGCTGGGCACTGGGAAAGACAGCATTCCTCCTTCGAGCAGATAACAGGGAGATGCATGAATTGGCCTTTTCAGACAAAATCACGGTGTCCAGCCAGAGCTTATCTATGGTTTAAGGAAGGAAAAGCTGAAGTTGGCTAAAAGCTTTACTTTCTTCTTACTTCCCTTGATATTCTATAAGTCACCAGGGGAGCAGAATATTGCAAAATTCTGTCATGAAAGAGCAAGCTGATAAACTGAAAAATAAAAACAGA